CTGCATGTGCTCAGAGAAGGGGGGTGGGTGGTGGGTGGGCAGGCAAACAAATAGCTCCAGCTAGGTGAAAGTGAGCACATGATCGTAAAATGGCTTTGACTTGCGGTGGCCCTTGGGTGTGGCGAATGTCTGCATGTGCTCACGGGGGAGACTGAGTGAATAGGGGCAGAGAATGCAAGGGGCAGCTAAAGAAACTGCGGAGTTTGCCAAGGTCGGAAGGGAAGCAGTGACAAAGTAGAATGTGACTGCAAGGGAAAAGGGCACGTGAGCGTGCCTGTGTGATTGTAAGAAAGAGAGGGCACGTGAGCGTGCCTGAATGAATAGCTCCTTGAGAACGGAGAGGAAGGGCAGGCGGTCGAACGAGGGCGAGAAGGTGAGGAACGGCCGCGAGCCCTTGAGGTGGTTGCCTGTGAGCTTGAGCTCCTCCATTGTGTGCACTGGGGGGTGGGAAAGAGTGGAGAGTGGTGGGAGACGAAGGGAGGGGAGATGGGAGGGCAGAAAAGGATTCTCCTTGAGGTGGTTGCCTGTCAGCTTGAGCTCCTTCATTGTGTGCACTGGGGGGTGGGGGTGAGGTGTGATAGGGGAAGTAAGGAAGGGGGGGGAGTGGGCGAGTTGAGTGAGTAGACAAGGACGGCCCTTGAGGTGGTTGCCTGTCAGCTTGAGCTCCTTCATTGTGTGAACTGGAAGGTAGGTGGTGAGATGATGCGGGGGGTTTGGGATGTGGGGGTTCTGAATGGGAAGGGAGAAACATGGAAGATGTGGGATGACAAAGAAAGCCCCTGAGGTGGTTTCATCTAACCTTGAGCTCCTCCATTGTGTGCACTGGAAGGTAGGTGGTGAGATGATGCGGGGGGTTTGGGATGTGGGGGTTCGGAACGGGAGGGGAGAAAGAAAGAAAGCCCTTGAGGTGGCTTTATATAAGCTTGAGCTCCTCCATTGTGTGCACTGGGGGGTGGGGGTGTGATAGGCACGGTGAAGCATGGGAAATAAGTGGGCAGAAAATGGACAGCCTTGAGGGGGTTTCCCACTGGCTTCAGCTCCTCGATTTAGCACACCAGGGGTGAAGCGGGTGGGATGAAACAACAGGAGAACAGGTGATGGGAGGGTGAAGAGTGGAATGTTAGATTCTGAATGGAGTAAACGGATGGAGTGGAGAAGAGCAAAGGCAGAGAGGGGTGCGGCAACTAGGGGCGTTATAGGAGTGGGTAAAGAACCGCACTCAAACGCGATAACCCAACAGCACACCCGAGAGGCATACCCGCAGGGACGAGACAAGCATACCGGCACTGACGAGAAACTTCACGGAAGGTCCTGAGGGCCCCTTGCTGAGCCAGAGATAGAGATCCCTCTGCTTGCGCATCTGGGGGGAGGCAGGGGGAGCGAGAAATTCGGAGAGCGAAAGGGGAGAGGTAGGGAGAGTGAGAGAGCGCACAGGCACAGGCGGTGGGGTGGGGACACAGATGGCCGGCACAGTGATGCAAGTGCTCCGCCAAATGCAAGTGCTCCGCCAAATGCAAGTGCTCCGCCAAATGCAAGTGCTCCGCCAAATGCAAGTGCTCCGCCAAATGCAAGTGCTCCGCCAAATGCAAGTGCTCCGCCAAATGCAAGTGCTCCGCCAAATGCAAGTGCTCCGCCAAATGCAAGTGCTCCGCCAGATGCAAGTGCTCCGCCAAATGCAAGTGCTCCGCCAAATGCAAGTGCTCCGCCAAATGCAAGTGCTCCGCCAAATGCAAGTGCTCCGCCAAATGCAAGTGCTCCGCCAGATGCAAGTGCTCCGCCAAATGCAAGTGCTCCGCCAAATGCAAGTGCTCCGCCAGATGCAAGTGCTCCGGCAGATGCTTGCGCATCCGGCAGGCAAAGAGCGAGTATGAGGGGAAGAGAGAGAAAGAGGCAGAGGGCGCTAGCAATAAGGGGCATGGCGGGAAGGGCGAATGCGGAAGGGGGGTCGGTTGGGGGGAGGGTAGGGGCGGGGGGGGTAACGGGAGGCAAGGGGACGGGAAGAGACGGGAGGGGAGTGGAACAGGGCAGGAGTTGAGTGAATTAGGGTGTAAGGGGAGTGGAGAGGGGAGTGAGGAGGAGAGTTGAGAGACGAGGAGGCGAGGGGACAGCGGGGCAGCTGGCCTCGAAGAAGAGGCAGAGCGAGCAGCCCCTTAGGTCCATGAGCTCAGAGAGGAGTGGGGAGGAGTGGAGGGGAGTGGGGAGGAGTGGAGGGGAGTGGGGAGGAGTGGAGGGGAGTGGGAAGGAGTGGAGGGGAGTGGGAAGGCGGGCAGACAGCAGAGCACCCTACCTCGAAGAAGAGGCAGAGCGAGCAGCCCTGTAAGTCCATGAGCTCAGAGAGGAGTGGGGAGGAGTGGAGGGAAGTTGGGAGGAGTGGAGGGAAGTGGGGAGGAGTGGAGGGAAGTGGGAAGGAGTGGAGGGAAGTGGCACGGCACTGACCTCAAAGAAGAGGCAAAGCGAGCAACCCCTGAGGTCCATGAGCTCAGAGAGAAGTGGGGAGGCGAGCAGACAGCAGAGCTTGCCGTACCTCGAAGAAGAGGCAGAGCAAGCAGCCCCGTAAGTCCATGAGCTCAGAGAGAGCCTCGTTGAGCTGACGACCGCGAGCCACGTCCACCTTGGGCTCCTTCTTGCTGTGCGGCAGCAGCGCCGTGATGTCCTCCATTAGATGGCGGTACCTGCATGGATGGGAGGGCGAAGAGGGGGTCGGGGATGAGAGAGGGGCGCACCACACAACTGCCGGAGAGGGTGCTACCTCCACGCGAGCCACGTCCACCTTGGGCTCCTTCTTGCTGTGCGGCAGCAGCGCCGTGATGTCCTCCATTAGATGGCGGTACCTGCATGGATGGGAGGGCGAAGAGGGGGTCGGGGATGAGAGAGGGGCGCACCACACAACTGCCGGAGAGGGTGCTACCTCCACGCGAGCCACGTCCACCTTGGGCTCCTTCTTGCTGTGAGGGAGGAGCGCTGCTATGTCCTCCATTAGATGGCGGTACCTGCAGGGACACAAGAGCGAAGGGAGGATAAGGGATGGCCACATGACTGCCGGGAGGGTGCTACCTGCCCGCGAGCCACGTCCACCTTGGGCTTCTTCTTGCTGTGAGGGAGGAGCGCTGCTATGTCCTCCATTAGATGGCGGTACCTGGGAGAAGCAGGGAGCGAGGGAAGACAGGGAAAGAGTGAGAGAAGGAGTGAGGGAGAGAGGAGAGGGGTCCGTCAAGGTTGCTTGGGACAGCGCTCGAGCCACATCCGCTCTGCGCGGTGGTGACGGAGGGCATAGATTTGTCGTACGTTAGCCGTCCAGCGAACTCAGACTGAAAACCTTGCCAGAAAACCCTGTACCTCTCAGAACCCCAGTGCAAACCTGAACCTTTCGGTGAACCAAACCCTAATTTCACACCAACACCGACCTGTAAACTATGCCTCGCGAAGACAGCACCAGAACCTTCTCCTTCTTAAAGCCCACCACTTCCTTGCCCTCCAGTGCCCCCGCTAACGAGCCCGCCGCTTTCCCCTGCAACTCGCTCTTCGGGATAAGCCCCACGTGGACAACTCGCGTGCTCTGGTTGGCTGTCGACGCCTCTTCCGCGGCTGCCTTCGCTGCGAATTTCTTCTGCTTCTTCTTCGCAATCATCTCCTGCTTTTTCGTTAGAAGCGGCTTCGCTTTCGCGCTGATGTGCGACTGGCCTTTCGCGGCTGGCGCCGCGGCGGTAACCTTCGCTTTTTGTAATTTCACGGAAAATTTCGACACGCCGAGCGGCTTCTGGGTCGCTGATTTCACCCTCTTCTCTGGCGCATGTTTCGACCTCGCCATTTAAATTTTATGTCTGGAGAGACGAAGGAAGAGGAAAAGAACGGAAAACGAGCACGCGGGGAGTAGAAAGCGAGGAAGCGGGAACCGAGTACTTAGATCGCAATGAGGCGGACTTGTGAGAGATTAGAGAGAGGGTGCGCCCTAGACCTAGATTTTTCGCGAGTCGTTTTGGTGCTTCGAATTTTCTGGGGTTGAGGGGACGAATACAGTTTTGGGGAAGGTGAACTTTTGCTGCCTACACTTTCTGGTTCGATCTAATTTCGTGCTGTTTGAGCTTGTATCGCGAATGCTGGCATCTGGAAGGTGTAGCGGGTGGGAGCGTCAGCTTCACGTTCCCCAGCCAGCATTGCAGGTTCGGTTCGGACCTGACCCCACCTGCAACCTCGATTTCATCGTCAACCATACGAGGATGACGAATCATCAAGTTCAGGCGGGATTTGGCGGGAAAGCCTGCTCTTGAAATTCATGCTTCTTGCACACGTTCTAGGTTCAATGGCTGCTTGACTTCAGAATAAATTTCGGAAATTCGTAGTACTTCAAGCGGTTGTTTGCTTTTCGTATAGCCCATTCCTCACACTTCGACGCTAAGCTGCTTGCTTCAAGGTTTTCCTAGTGAACTTCGCATATAATTATTGTTGCGAATCTCCTAAGGCATTCTGTTCAGAGTTTCACGGTATACTCTTGCAGAAAGCCGTCAACATATGTGTCTTAGATCATCGATCGTCACTTTAGGTGGTAACGATGGTTGCTTCTACGCGAAGCTGTCGCAAGCCTTCGCACAAAACTGATACGCTAGAGGTCAACGCGAATGGCTCGCTAGAGCGGTCACGCTAATACAACGCGACAGCACACTCCGTCACCGGACGTGTCGTTTCCTGTTAACGGGGACAGCAGCAAACCTAGTCCGAACGAGAGTCTTAAACCTAGCTCGAGCCTGCCTCCTGAGTGTAGTCCGAGCCTGGCTGCGAGGTCTGGTTCACGGCTTAGGGTAAGAAACAACAGGAGTGGGAGGGCGAAGGCTGTCGAAGAGGCCGAAAGGGGCAGCGTATTGGCGAAGGTTTTCGCTGGTGTGAGTAACGCAGCTTGCGTTGGCGACGGAAAACGAAAGGAGAATGTGACCGAGGGTCTGAGAGTTGAGATGATAAGAGGGAATCACAACGCGCCGGAACCGGGGGAAAAAGCTCAGGGGGAAATGGCGCGCGGAATAGTGGAGGCGGAAGACAGCGGGGGGAAGGTAGAGGGGAGTGGGGGGGAGATGGCGGTGGCGGAGGAGGAGTGGGGGGAGCTGTGGAAGGGGTGTGGCGGAGGGGAGGGCGGGGAAGTGGGGGGAGAGACAGAGGAGATGGACTGGGCGGGGAATGGATGGTTGGCAGATACTCAGATTGTGGGGGAGGACGAGACGCAGGTGTATGGTTATGGTGGGAGTTGGAGCCCTAGTAAGTGTGGGAATGATAAGGAAAAAGAAAAGGGGAATGATTCGAGTTTGGTTGTTGCTGGGGGGGGACCAGGGAAGGTGACAGAGAAAGGGTTAGAGAGGAAAGGAGAACAGGCGGAGGGTGGGCTGGGGGAAAGAGTAGAGCAGGGACGGGAGGAGGAGAGGCAAGAGGAGGAGAGGCGAGAAGCGGAGAGGCGAGAAGCAGGGAAGAAGCAAGAGGAGGGGGGACGGAGAGAGGAGGTGGAAGTGGAAGGGGTGGAGCAGAGGAGAGGAGAGGAGGAGGAGACAGATAAGGGGGTGACCCGAGAAAAGGGTGGGAAGCAAGGAGAGGAGGGGCCGGAAGAGGAGGAGGAATCGCCTGTGAGTTTCAAAGGCAGAGGTAGGGGAGGAGGGAAAGGAAGAAGGCGAGGGAGAGGCGGAAGGAGGGGCGGTGGACGCGGAAGGAGCAAGGGGAGGAGTGAAGAAAGTGTTGTGCTTGGGAAGGGGAAAGCGGGTGTGGAGGGAAGGGAGGAGGAAGCAGCAGCAGGCGCACCCAAAGCAGCAGTAGCCGCAGCTGCAGGAACGGACTCGCCAGCACCAGCTGCTGCAGCAGTGGACACAACAGCAGTAGCCGCATCAGCAGCAGGAGCAGCAGAGAAATCACCACCAGCATCAGCAGGACAAGCAGACACATCACCAGCGTCAGCAGCATCAGGAAAAACGAGCACATCACCAGAAGTAGCAGCAGCAGCAGCTGCAGCAGCAGCTTTATGTGCCGACTCAGTGGATCCAGGAGAGGACACGCAGGTGGACGCGCTCGGTATAGTCACACGCCTGCTGGGCTCCGACAGCCAGCACAGCAGCGACGTGCTTCTAAAGGGCGGTGCTCTTAGCGGGCTGCTGTTGGGGGGAGTGGGTGGAGGCATGGGGGGAGTGGCTGGGGGCGACAAGGGGGGTGACAGCAAGGGCAGTGGGGCAGGAGGTACGAGCAAGGGAAGGGAGGTACCTAGCTGGGCTAACTGGCTCAAGCCCGTGGGGAAGGCAGGAGGGACGGTGGCTGAAGGTCAACTCGTTGCTCCTAGTGTGCAGCAGCCATTGAAGGCTGTGTTGAGGGACGATGGGGTGGATCCGTATGCGCTGCCTTATAGTGAGGACCCGGAGGAGGAAGTGAAGTGTGGAGGGGGAGATGGGGTGGATGAAGAGGAAGAGGAGAAGGAGGAGGAGGAGGAAGAGGATGCTCGGAAAGGGAAGGGGAAGAGGACGCGCGGAGGGGCAAAGGGTAAGGGGAGAGGAAGAGGAAGAGGGAGAGGGGGGAGAGGAGGGGGAAAGACAAGGGGGAGAGGCAAAGGGACGAGAGGGGCAGGTAGCGGTGAGGGTATGGAAGAGGAGAAAGAGGAGGAGCAAGAAGAGGCTTATGGGATGGAGGTGGTGCAGCAGGAGGGCAGAACGGGCAAGAAGGGCAGGTCAGGGAGTGGTGGGCGTGGTTCAGGTGCTGCAGGGCGTGGGGGGAAGAGAGGGAGAGGGGCAGGGAAAGATGTAAGTACAAGCCCGAGCCATGGCCTGGATAGAGAGTATTTCTTGAAGCTGAGTCAACTGCAGGAAGAGGAGGAAGAGGAGGAGGAGGAAGAGGAGGAGGAAGAAGAGACGGTTGTCGAAGTCTTGGAGGGCAGGAGAGGGCGTAGGAGGACAGGAGAAGGGGAAAGGGGGGCAGCAGAGAGAGGAGAGTGAGGAGAGGGAGGGGAGTGGGGAGAGAGTCGGGAAGGAAGACAAAGCAGTGGAAGTGCGAGATGGTGAGTCTGCTCCTTGTGAAGGTGAGGAGATGGGGTTACAACATCCGAGGTTGGGGGAGTCAGCTCCTGTGGAAAGCCAGGAAGGAGGACCGCTGAACACGAGCTTGGGTCTGGGCGAAGCAGCTGGTGTTGGAAATGCGGATCTGAGCGAACCAGTTTCTGTGGGAGCAACAGGCGGGCAGGTGCAGGGAGCAGAAGACGCGGATGGGATGCCATTTGATTCCCAGGCGGTCTGGATGGACTCGCAAGCGGTTGAGATGGGTGCGGGGGGGAGCCTGGGCGTGCAGGTGAGCTTGGGGGAGGTGTTAACTGCGGACCTGGAGATGTCCCAACGGTGGACGGAAGGGGGAGAGGGCGGGGGAAGGGGCGAGGAGGGTGAGAGGGGGGGTGAGTGGGTGGATGAGAAGGGGGGTGGGGATGAAAGGAAGGTTGATGGGGATGAGCGCAGACGTGGAAAGGAGGGCAAGGATGGTGGGGAGGGGGAAAAGGATGGTGGGGAGGGGGAAAATGATGGTGGGGAGGGGGAAAAGGATGGTGGGGAGGGGGAAAAGGATTTCAGGGAGGGTGAAAAGGATAGGGAGGGTGAAAAGGATGGTGGGGAGGGGGAAAAGGATGGTGGGGAGGGGGAAAAGGATGATGGGGAGGTGGAAAAGGATTGTGGGGAGGGGAAAAAGGATGATGGGGAGGTGGAAAAGGATTGTGGGGAGGGGGAAAAGGATTGTGGGGAGGGGAAAAAGGATGATGGGGAGGTGGAAAAGGATTGTGGGGAGGGGGAAAAGGATTGTGGGGAGGGGAAAAAGGATGATGGGGAGGTGGAAAAGGATTGTGGGGAGGGGGAAAAGGATTGTGGGGAGGGGGAAAAGGATTGTGGGGAGGGGGAAAAGGATTGTGGGGAGGGGGAAAAGGATTGTGGGGAGGGGAAAAAGGATTGTGGGGAGGGGGAAAAGGATTGTGGGGAGGGGAAAAAGGATTGTGGGGAGGGGGAAAAGGATGGTGAAGAGAGGGGCAAGGGTGGTGGGGCGAGGGGCAAGGTGAGTGGGAAGTCGGATGCAGGTTTGGCTTCAGTGGAAAGCGGGGAAGGTGATGGAGTGAATAAGGACGGGCGGAGGGAGGAAGGGGCAACGGTGAAAGGGAGGTGAAGAGAAGGCGAGTGGGGAGTGGTTTGAGCAGTGAAGGATTGGAAGGAGAGGCAAGAGGGATGAGAAGTCCAGAGGTAAAGGGAGCAGGGGAGGCAGGGGGATTAGGGGAGGCAGGGGGAGCAGCAGAGGCGAGGGAAGAAGCAGAGGCGGGAAAGGAAAGTGAGGAAGGGGGAACAGCAGGAGCAAGCTCGAGATCAGCAGAGGCAGCCAGGACGGAAGCAGCTGCAGTGGGTGGTATGGCTAGTGATATTGCTGGCAGTATTGCTGGCGGTATGGTTGGTGGTGTTGCTTGTGCGTTCTCCCCTGTGGGAGAAGACACTCAGATTGCACTCGATGCCCTTGACCTCATTCTCGTGCAGGGGGGGGGGAGGGGGGAGGGGGAGAAGGGGGAGGGGGAGAAGGGGGAGGGGGAGAAGGGGGAGGGGGAGGGGAAGGTTGAGGAAGCAGAGGAGGGGGGGAGAGGGAAGAGGAAAGCAGCTGTGAGGCGGAAGGGAAGAGGGAAGGGGAGAGGGCAAGGGAGGGGGGTGGGGAGAGGGAATGGAAGAGGGAAGGGAGGAAGAGGAGGGTTAATGCGGGAGGAAAGCAAGGGTGCAGCAGGTGAGTTGAGTGCCGTGAATTTAGCAACAGGTGCACCAGAAACAGCAGCAGCAGCACCAGAAGCAGCACCAGAAGTAGAAGCAGTAGAGGCACCTGGAAAGCAAGCAGGAACAGCAGATCGAGGTGAAACTGGAGTTGTGGCATCGACAGACGAGGCAACCAAGTTAGCAGAAGTGTCAGCGCCAGCAGCACGAGCAGCAGAAACATCAACAGAAGCATCCGCAGCACCAGCGGCTGGAGCAGAACACACAACACCACCAGCAACAACGGCCGAATCAGAAAAACAAGCACAATTGAGAGAGTCAGCAAAGTTGGCTGCATCAGCGGCATTGGGGAGGAAAGCAGCTGCAGCAGCCGCAGCAGCAGTGGAGAGGCGGGTGTTGGGGCGGATGGCAGACGTGGGGCGAGGGGCAGGGCTGGTGGGACTGGAAAGAGCCCTGGAGGAAGACGGGGAGCAGGGAGGGGGAGGTGCAACAGTGCATGACGGGAAAGGGGCTGGAAAGGAGGTGGATGGGGAAGGGGAGCAAAGTAGGGCTTTTGGGTTGGAAGCAGGCAAGGTTGGAACGGCCCAAGGCCTAGTTAAAGCAGATGATAGGCAGGAGATTAGGGGAGTTGGAGAAACTGGTGGTGGTGCTGCTGCTGTTGTTCCTGCCTCTTCAAATGCCACCTCCACGCCTCCCAATGCGCCTCCCAATGCGCCTCCCACTGCGCCTCCCACTGCGCCTCCCGCTGCGCCTCCCGCTGCGCCTCCCGCTGCGCCTCCCACTGTTGCAGCCGCTGCTGATGTATCTCCCACCGCGGAGGCCTCTGCCATTGATGCTGCTATTCCAGCAAAAGAAGCCTCTCGTGCCGCTGCCGACCCAGCAATAGAGCCCTCTCCTACCCCTGCTGTTCCTGCAATGCATGCCCCTGGAGCGGCTGCTGCTCCAACAGCAGGCACAGACGCGCCTTCTGCTGCTGCTCCAGCAACAGGCGGCTCTGCACCTGCTTCTCCAGCAACAGGCGGCTCTGCACCTGCTTCTCCAGCAACAGGCGGCTCTGCACCTGCTTCTCCAGCAACAGGCGGCTCTGCACCTGCTTCTCCAGCAACAGGCGGCTCTGCACCTGCTTCTCCAGCAACAGGCGGCTCTGCACCTGCTTCTCCAGCAACAGGCGGCTCTGCACCTGCTTCTCCAGCAACAGGCGGCTCTGCACCTGCTTCTCCAGCAACAGGCGGCTCTGCACCTGCTTCTCCAACAACAGGCGGCTCTGCACCTGCTTCTCCAGCAACAGGCGGCTCTGCACCTGCTTCTCCAGCAACAGGCGGCTCTGCACCTGCTTCTCCAGCAACAGGTGGCTCTGCACCTGCTTCTCCAGCAACAGGCGGCTCTGCACCTGCTTCTCCAGCAACAGGCGGCTCTGCACCTGCTTCTCCAGCAACAGGCGCCGCTGCTGCTGCCACCATGACCAGGGGAACCAGGCGAGCAGCGGGCAGCGGGCGAATGGCGCAAGGCCTGGTGGCCTGCCAGGTGAAGCGAGCGGGTAACAGGGCGGGCAGTGGGCTGAAGGATGGGACTGCAGTAGAGGAGAATGGCGGAGAGAGAGGGAAGGGAGGTGGGAAGAGCAGAGATTCGGGCAGGGGAGAAGGGAAGGATGGCGAAGGGGAGAGGGCGATGGGGAACAGGGGGAAGAAAGAAGAGGGGAAAGAGGGGAAGAAACAAGAGGGGAAGCAAGGGAAGAAGCCACAGGGGGACGAAGGGATCAAGCAAGAAAAGAGGGAGGGAAAGATGAAAGAGGAGAAGGAGCATAAGAAACAAGAGAAGAAGGTAGGGAGGAAACAAGAGGGGAAGGATGGAAAGGCGAAAGAGGGGAAGGAGGGGAAAAAGCAGGAGGGGAAGGAGGCAGTTGCTGGTGATGGTGATGGTGATGGTGATGGTGGTGCGGGGGGCAGAAAGAGGAGAAAGGCTTCGCTTGGGCTACATGATGGGTTCTACGAGCTTCTTGAGTCGAGTGAGAGTGAGAAAGGGAGTGATAAAGGAAGTGATAAAGGGAGTGAGAAAGGAAGTGAAAAAGGGAGTGAGAAAGGGGGTGAGAAGGGGGTGATATGGTGGGTGATGTGGTGAGTGATGAGGGTGAGGAGGAAGATAAGGGGAAGGCGAGGAAAAGGCAGAAAGGCTTGCTCGCAGGAGGCAAGCAGACGAAGCAGAAAGGAGAGAAGGCGAGGGAGAGGGAGGTGAAGAAGAAGGGGTTAGAGAGGGGACAGGGAGGCGGAGAGAGGCAGCAGAGAGGAAAGGCAAGGGCGGAAAGCAAGGCAAGGGCAGAAAGCAAGGCAAGGGCAGAAAGCAAGGCAAGCGCGGAGAGCAAGGCAAGGGCAGAAAGCAAGGCAAGCGCGGAGAGCAAGGCAAGGGCAGAAAGCAAGGCAAGCGCGGAGAGCAAGGCAAGGGCAGAAAGCAAGGCAAGCGCGGAGAGCAAGGCAAGGGCAGAAAGCAAGGCAAGGGCAGAAAGCAAGGCAAGCGCGGAGAGCAAGGCAAGGGCGCATGTGCAGAGACAGGAGTCGTCGAGTGGGGCAAAGGCACGGACGAGGAATAAGAGTGAGGAGGAGGAGGGACAGGCGGATCCTAAAGAGAGTAAGACAAGGGGGAAAACAGTGGAGCAGAGGACGGGAGTGGTGGAAAGTGAAGGAACCGGGGGGGATGATGGGTCCAGGGTAGGTAGGAGCAGGAGTGGTAGGCGCCAGGGAACCAAGAGAGTGTTGGCAACGCAAGGGGATGGGGTGGAGCAGAAGCAAGCGAGGGTTTTTAAAGAAGAAATTGGAGGAGAAAGGGAAGGAGAGCAGAGAGGTGGAGAGGGGCAGGAATGGATGGAGGGAGGTGAATTTCCAGGGAGGGCGAGAAGAAGGCGGAGCAGCAGCGGTGCAGCAGGCTCGCACCGAACCGGATTGCATGGTTTGTCTCCAGTGCGGGTACTGTTCAGCCGATCGCTGGACGGCGATACGATCGCTGGGCTGACGAGAATAGTGGAGAGGCTAGGAGGAGACGTTGTTTCTGATACCTCCCCTGCCACCATCGCCACTGCCTCTGCGCTCTCCTCCTCCTCATCGTCCTCCTCTCCTGTGGTTGCTTCTGCTGCTCCTGCTGCTTCCATCTGCACGCATTTTGTCTCGGCGCCTCGGATTACTCGCTCGATTAATCTCCTCGTTGCTATCTCCAGGGGCTGCCACGTGTGCACTGCTGAGTGGCTGCAAGCATGTGCGAGGGCGCGGGGGTTTGTGGATGCAGGGGAGTATGGAGTGAGCGACAGGGGGAAGGAGAGGGAGATGGGGTTTAAGCTGGGGGAGGCTTTGGGGAGGGCGAGGGAGAGGGGGGTGTTGGAGGGTCAGAGAGTGTTTGTGACGCCCAACACCACGCCTGATGCTCGCTCTCTTGCTGCTGTTGCAGCTGCAGCTGGTGCTGAGGTGAGCTATGACCTGTTCTTATCCTCATTATTGTGTTTTGGTGAGCTCGTAATGTTTGGCTTCCGGTGCTAGCGTCGAGGTGAATTGATTTGCCACGGCCTCCAGTCTGCAGGGCTTGGCTGGTGCTCCATTCTCTGCTCTCTCTCCTGCCTTTCCCATCCAGTCCTTGTTGTTGCTGGCAAGACGCACACCCTTCAGTTATTGCTGTCCTCAGACGTGTTCTCCTCCTCGCCTGCTGCTCTCCCCTCTCCGCACACCTCCAGGTGCTGCCGTCCCTGACTGCCAGCACTGCCCCCACGGTGATCGTCTCGTGCCACGCCGACAGACCCATGTGGGAACCCCACGCGCTGAAAGGTGGGTGATGCGGGTGGCTGATGCGGGTGGCTGATGCTGGTGGGTGATGCTGGTGGGTGATGCTGGTGGCTGATACGGGTGGCTGATGCGGGTGGCTGATGCTGGTGGGTGATGCTGGTGGGTGATGCTGGTGGGTGATGCTGGTGGGTGATGCTGGTGGCTGATGCGGGCGGGTGATGCTGGTGGCTGATGCGGGTGGGTGATGCTGGTGGGTGATGCTGGTGGGTGATGCTGGTGAGTGATGCTGGTGGATGATTCGGGTGGCTGATGCGGGTGGGTGATGCTGGCGGGTGGATGCATTTGCGGATTCAGGCTTCGGGTTTTAAAGTAATCAGATGCCGTGTCATCTCAAACTGCCTCTTGTGTTCAAGTCAGCATGCTCCTTGAAACCCCAACCATCCACACAACATTCCCTTCTGCTGAAAGCTAGCACGTCAGCATGCTCCCATGCTCCAACATGCGTGTGCTTCAGTGCATTGAACCCATTCTCCCTACTGTTCTTCCCACATTCTGTCTTGCCTTTCACCCCATCCCACACCCACCATCAGGCATGCCTGTATTTTCGCCGGAGTTTCTTCTGACAGCAGCAATGCGCCAACAGCTAGACTGGGGCAGGTCAGTGTGTGATCAGGTCAGAACTGGACTGGGAATGCATCACAGCAGGTCAGCACTGGTGGCTCCTCCTGTCAGCACATTCACTCACATGCATGTCTTCGCGTGGGCTATTTGTCCTTCCTCCTCCGGCTTTTGTTCAAAATGTCGGAAGTGCCCTGCTTCTATTCGGAATAGGTATTGGGCTTCTTTTCTTGCTCGCTTACATGTTCTCCTTCCTATCCGATGTGTTTACAGGAACCATCGTCTGTAACATCCTCTCATCACTAAATCTGAAGGAGCATGTAGAATCTTTAGTATATTGTATAGTATGTTTTTTCAATTGCCTGTTGGTGGAATATCAATAACAATAGGCGTTTCATGTCAAGCACCTTTTAGGTGACCGGGAATGAAGCATTCACTCAATATTTGCATGTGAGAAGAGACTGTTCTCTAGTATTTAAGTATATTATAATGTTGAATCGCGTCCCTTGACCTAAGGAGGATCTGTGAATCTACTCGTCTTGTGTACTAACGGGGACGGGAGTTCCTTGACTCTTGACTTGACATCTTGCCGACAAGACACCTCATGGAGACGCACCGCGTGGATAAGAATATTCTGCCAAGTGCGACGGCTGTGCCATCGCTGTGATTCGAAAAACGCGGCGTGGCGATGGCATGGCTAGGGGATGGTGTTTTGCCTGGGGACGAAGTTTCGTCCCCGCTTCCATATGCCGTCGAAGCGTTAGATTTGGTGGACAAAAGTGGGCGTTCGCCAGACGCCCACTTTGTTTGTTGGTTTGGACGGTAGGTGAGGCTCGGCACTTTTTTCACGGGCTGACAAGGCTGACGGAGGTTAACGAACTCTAACTGACGGGATCAGGAAGGCGAGACCCACCTTCCTGATCCCGTCGTTATCCCGTGGTTTTTTGCGTGCAAAGGTGCTGGCGAACAGTCCCCGTGTATTGGCTCATGCTACTTCATTTAGGCAGTGTACAGACCTCCCCTCTCACATTTGCCCTCGTTCTGCTCTGCTCTTGGTCTGCTTTTTTTAGCCATCCACAACAGCCCGTGGTGTGCGTTTGCACGCGCATTTCTGTTTTTACATTTCGTCGTTCAGATTACAGGTCGATCGATGGCTTTCGCCCGGTCTGAGTTTGTGGATCTGTTGACGGACGACAACTTCGAGGAGCGCGTTCTGCAGGCTCCGCCGGCGCAATTAATCGTGGTGGGCTTTTTGAAGAACGAATGCCCGGAATCTCAAGAGCTTGGTCAGAGCATTGGCAATCTCGCGATGCGCCACAATTTCAGGCGCGAAGCGGTCGCATTCTACGTGGTGGACGTCGATGCGTATCCCCACTTGGGACCGAAACACGGTGCGCACTCTGCTCCTTCGGTTGTGTTTTACAAGAACGGGTCTGCTGTCCACCAGTTTTCTGGTACACCGCCACCGCCCGAGCCTCTCATCGGGGCTTGGGTTGAGGAGCGCCTGTGAGCTCGCATATGCTGCGTCTTGTCGGTCTTTTCACGAATGCCTTCTGTGAAATGTATCTCTTAAATCTAGTGCGATTCAAGTTGCGAAGCTGTGATTGTACATTATACCAGGGACACGTGCGAACTGCCCGTTCAGGAGATTGATGAAAGACAGCACGTGCCACATGAGAGGCGAGGAAACGAATGGAAACAAGAGCGGCGAGCAAAACATTGAAATTGTAATTATCTAACAAAAATGTGTTCGTCTATTGTTCTTTCAGCCTTGTGCTTGGTGGTCGGTCATGTGACGCGTGTTCCTTCCGCAATAATGCCATCTTGACTTCTTGACGTCTGTCTTGACGTCTTGCCGAAGCGGCGGACAGAGCCACGTTGTGCTAGTGAATAATCCTTGCACTTTGAGATCCAAGGATTTTAAGGACATGCATGGCGACAGTCGGGAAAATTGGCCTGCAATTCCGACACGATATCAGCAATTCCAGCCACGATACGCAGCCACATTCCCACCGACCACCGCAAGCGTTCTCATCCAAGGCGAGCTCTCTGTGCGAGCCTGTGAAGGCCTTGCCTCTCATTTATACCATCGGTAATTTTATTCATAGCTTCCAAAATCTAGTAACCCCACGAAGGCATGTGTTCAGGAGAGATCACGTGTGATGCTGCGTGTCGTCGGTCTTATGCATGAATGTTACGTGTGAAAATGCAATGTAGATCTAGGATTAGTATACGGAGGGTACCTACTAATCAAAATTCGGTCCCTGGATTCTAGTGTGATTGCGTTACCGCGATTGCGGCTGAGAGAGAGAACGAAACAAAACGAAAAAATATTTCGTTTGCGAAAAGGGAAACGAGGGGAGCACGAAACGAAACACAACAGCTGAGAATTTTGTAGATGTGGATGGGGGGTCGGGGAGGGAAGCGCAACCCTAATTGCAGCCAGCGAGAACCGCTCTCATTCAGCAGTGAGCGGCGAGGCTAGATGTGAAGTAGCGAGCACGGACAGTGTCGATGAACCACTAGCGTCACCACCGTGGAAGCACGCGCCGCCTGGGGCTATCGCACGTGCGCGAATAGTGTCGCGACTATCGGTAGTCGCCATTGCGGCTGAGTTATCCGCGGATCGCACTTGAATCACCGCCTTACTGGACGACGACACCCTATCGCACGTCCCTCTCCTCCCCCCCCCCCCCCCCCCCCCCCCCCCCCTTCGCGATTCGCTATCGCCTCGATCGCCTTCGTTTTCCGCCGTTGAAGGCGCGTCGCGCTGCTCGTGTGTGTGCTATCGCGCTGGCGGGATATTAGAGCATCCCCGCGAATGAGAGTCTAGTCTCCGAAGCGCAAACTCTTGAGTTTGCACGATTTGTATGCCATACATACTGAAGAACCGTCCCGGCGCGAGGAATTGCGTGTCTTCTGACTCCCTCTGCGTGCCCTCTGTTTCCCCCTGCGTGTCTTCTGTTTCCCCCTGCGTGTCCTCTGTTTCCCCCATGATTGCCTTCTATTCCCCCCTCTGCTTGCCCTCTGTTGCCCCCTTTTCCTTGCCTTCACATTTCCCACTCCGTATCCTGTGTCCACCCCATGCTCGTATCACTCCATCCTCGAATAACTGCATCCTTGCCCTATAATTCTTCCTTGCTTTTTCCTCATTTTCTCCCATTTCTGCCCTATGTTCCTCCCATTTTTTCCCCCTCCCCCTGACTCAACTTCCCCCCCTCCTTGACCTCACTTTTCCCCTCGGGCTTAGCACCCATCTTCCTGTCCCCTCTCTTCCAAGCCTCCCCTCTTCCGCGTCTCCACCATTTCCTCTTTCCACTCGTCCTTACTATCTCCCCTCTTCCTTCTCTCCTTCCATTCTTTTCTCCCCTCTTCCCTCTCTCCTTCCTGTCTCCCCTCTTCCCCATTTCTCCTCTCCACTGTCCTCTTCACTTCATGTTGAGCCATCACATCCTATTGTATGTACGAACCACGTCCTTTTCTTCCTCCCCCCTCCCCTTCCCACCCCCATCGCTTTCTTTCCCACTCTTTGCCTTTCTCAGTCGCTACTCTCTGAAGACCTTGCTTCAAGACATGCTCCATCATCTCAAGACATGCTCGTTGAGTGACAAGCCAGCTCATATCTAAAGACCTTTTTTTCTTTTTTTTTTTTTCTTCCCCCGGGGCTTTTTGAAAGTTCAAAAGTACCATATTCTCGCAGATATAGGACCCGCGGGAGGTGGGTGGGTGATTGGTACTGTCCAAAAGTACCAATAAAATTGCTAGGAAGGTGGGTGGGTGATTGGGTGGGTGGGTGAGCAGTGACTGTGGGGTGGTGGGTAGTTGGGGTTGGGTGGGTGAGCATGTGGGTGGATGGGCAGTGACTGGGGGTGGTGGGTAGTTGTGGACGGGTGGGTGGGTGGTTCTGGGCAGGTTGGTGTATGGCTGGGTGGTGAGATGTGACCCGTTTTCCTCCCCATGCTGGTGCTGTGGTGAGCTCATATTGTTTCTGCTTCTGCTTCTGCTGCCGGTGCTGAGGTGATCCCCTTGCCTGGTTGCCTGGTCCAGCGTTGTCAGCTCTCCATGCTTTGCCACCACAGCACAGCACAGCACAGCACAGCACAGCACAGCACAGCACAGCACAGCACAGCACAGCACGACCCCCCTCACGACTCCATGCTCTAATGCTTTATGCCTGAGCTGTTGCTACAGACACTGCTCTCCTATGCTCTCCTGCTCTCCCCATCTTGTTGGTTCCTTTGTTGCTCCATGCTGGTGCCCTTGTTGCTGCTCTTGTTGCTTCACTGTTGCTTTGCTGCACTTGTTGCTGCTCTTGTTGCAACTCCCTGAAGTGTTCTCATCCTCGCCTGCTGCTCTCCCCTCTCCTCGCACCTCAGGTGCTGCCATCCCTGTCTGCCATCCCTGTCTGCCATCCCTGTCTGCCATCCTTGTCTACTAGCTTCAACCCCACTGTGATCATTTCGTGCCAAGCCAACCGACACATTAGTGAAGCACCAACGCTGAAATGTTAGTGCCCTGAGTGGATGCTGGTGGGTAGTGCTGCTGTCCTGTGAACAAGCACTGAATCAACTGTTGTCGAGTAATCAGGTGCCGTATCATCTCAGCCTGCAATAAAATCCACATTTGAGCCCATTCTTCTGCATTCTCTTCCAGCATTCCATCAATTTTTACACCCCTCCCCACACCACGCCATCAGGTGTGCTTGTGTTTTCGCTCGAGTTCCTTTTGACAGCAGTGATGCGCCAAGAATTGGACCCGGGAAGGTCGGTATGGGGGTGGGTCAGAACTGGAGTGGGAATGCGCCAGGGCAGGTCAGCACGCCTGGCTCCTCTGTCCGCACATTCACATGCATGCATGAGTTCAACATGTGATCTCATGCCCTTTTCCCTCCGTTGACTTCTTCTCGAATTTGCCTCCTTCAGTCTAGATCTAAAGCGAATTTCCTTGATATCTTTACGTTTTTTGGCGGCCGCTTGTGTGTTTTCCTTTCTCCCTTTCCCCCCTGCAATTGCTTTTTCAGGAACCATCGTCTGTAAGTC